AGCAGCAAAAATTCAATTTTTCCATCTCGAGCAGCAGCGCGTTTGCGGCGCGTCACGCGCGTCAGATGCTTAAACGCGCCCGACGTGCTGCTTCAGCTGCTCAGACGCGCTGCGCCTGCTGCTCAAAACGCGCCGCGGGACCTTTTGCTGCGCCTTGACGCGCGTCAACCATTGACTTTGCATCTAAACTCGCTGCTTCTGTCGCGCCAGCTGCGCCCGGTGTGAACGCAGCATAACGCTCAGACCCACATGCAATGAAACCAAACAGAGAGACACGGATGAAAAGTTTGACGGATTTTATTGAGGATGTTAAGCTCGGTGCAGAGTTTCTCTGAACTCTGCTCGACCGGAACTGGAAGATGACGGGAAGACAGTCTATTAGTTCAGGCTCAGTGGGAAATTTAATTCTTTGATTTAGATGTAGAGGATCTGGTTGTTGACTCACATTTCCAGAGAAGTGAAGGATCCTTGACTCCTATCCGTGTGTTGGTTTCCAGTGTTTGTCTGACTCAGTGGAGGGCGGAACAGGGTTTACCCAGAACTCTGAACAGTGACGCTAATTGCCACTCAGGTTTCCAGCCGTACTCGAACGGGTCGTGGTGGAGATGATTCCCTTGCTCAGAGAGTAATTTCAACGTCCTCAAAGGAGACCGGATCCAAACCTCCTGTTTGAATCCCTGGCTCAGTTTAGACTCAGTTAATCCCTCCTGGGAGGGGATGTCCGAAAAGGTCCAGTTTGCAGGATGACTTCCCAAAACTGGCAAACACTCTGGCGTCGAGGTGGTGGCAATCAGCAGCTTAAGAGCGCTCCGTTAATGAGATAACCGTCAGCAGGTGTGTGAGGAGGCAAACCGGAACCAGGCGCCCCCTGTTGGTGGAAGGGAGACAAACACAAAAATAACAAACACACAGACAGGAGCCCAGACAATTGGAACTTTATTGGATGTTTGGTTTGACAAACAATCACCACTACAGATCACTTTCACCACTTTCTTTAATCCTTGTCATCCTATATTTTCTCTTAATGTTAATTTGCATATTATAAACTCTAAACCTGTATTAGCAATGTTTTGTAAATGTCGACTTTGTGTGTTTTTTTTTACAGAAAGTAACGCTGAAATCCCCCCAATTTACAAGGTAGGCTCTGTTTTTCATAAAAGTTTCATCCATCTGTGTTTATGAGGTTTAATGGTGAACCAGCAAATTCTGAAATGAAACACCAAGTGAGGAAACGTGGAGGAAGACATAAAGTTCTGAAACGGCACTGATTCTTCTGTTTTCTGCAGGCACGAGATGTGGTCACCTTAAAACTGGGCGGCATCAAATCTCCTCGGAAAGAAAGGAGTGGACAGGTCCTCTCTATGGACTGGCTTCCTCAAAAACCACACAACATAGTGGCTGTTGGATTCTATGATGGTGTGAAGTTATTTTCTTCCGATCCTGATAATTGATTTATTTTGTTAGAATAAACAAATAAAGAATTAGGTCTCCTCAGAAACTCTTCTGATAAAATCTGCTCCATCTCCTTAAAATTTTGCTTTGTTCTGTGCTTACACTCGTTTTTCTCTTCCTCCAGGCTTAGTTGGACTCTGGGATCTTTCCACGAAATCTTCCCTGTTGAGAGTTAGAGAGTCTGACAGATCTATGACTCTGCTGCCCTATCGATGCATTCTGGCTCACGAGCATGCAGTCCGATCTCTGGTCTTCTGTCCTGCATCCAGGTGAGCTCTTCTCACTTTAAACAATTTGCTGAAAGGTAAAATGTTTTCTAGTTTTAATTGTGTCTCCATAATGTTTTAGACGGGGAGAAAAAACTGTAGCGGGTTTAAAAATTACTAATAATTTTAAAAATGAACATGAAAAGCATCAATATAAAACTTTGCAAAAGAATATCTTTTTAAAAATTCAAGTTTAAACGTTTAAAAATTGATGCATCAATCTATTACTGAAACTAGTTTAAATTAGAAGTCAGGTTTAAAAAGCAGAGATGGGTAGGGTACCTAAAAGTTATAACCAGTTAAGAGTAGAAGTACTCCAACATCTTTATACTTAAATAGAAATTTAAAAAGTAATCATTCAATTAATTACTCGAGTGAGAATAAAAAAGTATTTGGTAAAGAGCCTACCTAAGTACTGAGTCATTGTTGGTTCATAACATCTGATTTATGGTTTAAAAATGATGCAGTCAGACAGACTAGTATCTTAAAGGAGTAGTACACCCAAAACATGATTAGCCTTCATTTTCTACTCACCCCCATGCTGAACAACACTCTGGAGTACTTTTTTGATATCTCAAATGCATCTGGAGATCTGGGAGGCTTCTTGCTGTCTTGCTACACTACTGTTTATGCTCTAAAAACATTCTAAATG